CTGATTCCGCTCCGTGGCTGATTATGGTCCTGGTCTAGATCTGGATCTAGTTTTGGTCCGTGCCTGGTCTGGTTCAGAGTCTCGATCCTGGTCCAGATCTGGTCTCGGTCTCGGCTCACAGCGCACACTCTCTCACCCTTGATATTGATTGGATTAGTTTTGTAATTTCCCCTTTGATTAATCGTTTAGTTGTTTGTAAATCTAAAAGTGAAGCCACAAACATGTATGACACTGAGCGATGAGGTTTCCATGACAACAGACATGTATTAGTCTGTGTGAGGATCCAGGGCTGTTTAACATGGAGGAGGAGGAGGCGGCTGGGGAGAGGCCCTCGAGGTTCAGATGGAGATTGGGGCGAGTGATTGAAAAGCTGACGGAGCCGATTCCACTCGCACGGAGACAAACGAGCTGCCGACCGCTCACTTCGCAGAGGAACAGAACTGTACAAAGGTCCCGCATGGATCGCTCTCATCTCGCTCTTTTTCATTGGTCTCGGCTGAAGACGAGATTCTGACAATATTTACTTTGGATTTAAGAAAAAGAAACATAAATAAAACAGGTTAGATGGATGAAGAGATGGACAGGATTATGGAAAGTGGGAACAAAACTGCGAGATTATACACAATGGGATTGAAATGGTTATTTTAGTGGAATCACAGAGAGCAAAAGGAGTCCATAGAGAAATCAGAGATAAACCAGAGAGAGAGAGCCGAGAGAGAGAGAGCTGAAAGAGAGAGACCAGAGATAAACCAGAGAGAGAGAGCCTAGAGAGAGAGCTGAAAGAGAGAGACCAGAGAGAAACCAGTTAGGAACCAGAGAGAAACCAGAGAGAGAGCCGAGGGAGTGAGCCGAGAGAGAGAGACCAGAGAGACAAACCAGAGATAGAGAGCTGTGAGAGAGAGAGCCGAGAGAGAGAGAGCTGAAAGAGAGAGACCAGAGAGAGCCGAGAGAGAGACCAGAGACCATTAAATATTAAAATAAAAATATTATATTAAATATTAAAATCCAGACTATTAAATCCAAATCTTTGAATAAGCAATGATTCTTCTGGCCCCTGGAAATGCCATGTTCCAGCTTCTTCCCTTGGCTGCAGGACATCTGGATATGCTAACATGCTAACAGCTGTTATCAGTCTGAACAAAGCACTTAAATGATCTTGTATCAAAGCTGAATTAGATTTCTTTTTAGCTTGTTTAACAAACTGAATCTAAAACATGTCAGATGAGCTGTTTTCCGTCTGCAACAGAACTGAAAAGAGATGACATCATAATCCTGCACCTGAACCTCCCCCTCCCCCCCTCCCCCTCTGCTGACGGAAACGTCTCTCAAACTATTCCATTCCGTGTGCGTTCTCCTTCAAACAACCACTTCCACTGAAAACCTCCGCCACTGAATATCAATCATGTCTGAAGCCGTGTGAGGGAATACAGAGCGACTGCAGCCCCACGTGGAGACTGATCTCTCTGGTCTCGCTCTAATCTCTGGGACTCGTTAGAGAGAGGCCAAAGAGAGACCAGAGACAGAGCAGAGAGACCAGAGAGAGGCCAGAGAGACCAGAGAGAGAACAGAGAGAGACCAGAGAGAGACCAGAGAGAGACCAGAGAGAGACCAGAGAGAGAGCAGAGAGACCAGAGAGAGAGACCTCAGAGAGACACCAGAGAGAGACCAGAGAGAGAGAGAGACCAGAGAGAGACCAGAGAGAGACCAGAGAGACCAGAGAGAGAACAGAGAGAGAGACCTCAGAGAGACACCAGAGAGAGACCAGAGAGAGACCAGAGAGAGACCAGAGAGAGACCAGAGAGAGACCAGAGAGAGGCCAGAGAGAGACCAGAGAGAGACCAGAGAGAGACCAGAGAGAGACCAGAGAGAGGCCAGAGAGCAAAGAGAGAGACCAGAGAGAGACCAGAGAGAGAACCGAGAGAGAGCAGAGGGAGAGCAGAGAGCGACGAGAGAGAGACCAGAGAGAGGCCAGAGAGAGACCAGAGAGAGACCAGAGAGAGACCAGAGAGCAAAGAGAGAGAGACCTGAGAAAGACCAGAGAGAGGCCAGAGAGAAAAACCAGAGAGAGAGACCAGAGAAAGACCAGAGAAAAACCAGAGAGAGAGACCAGATATGGACCTAAAAGAGACCAGAAAAAGAGCAGAGAGAGAGGCTAGAGAAAGACCAGAGAGAGACCGGAAGAAGCCAGAGAGAAAGATGAGGGACCAGTGAGAGATCAGTGAGAAACCATAGACTAAAATCAAAACAACAGCAGTGATGGATCTACAATGTACAGTTCGCGAAAACTACAGCCTACCCCCAAACCGCAAAGCATTATGGGATTGTGCACAGAGATAATACAGGTTTTCTCTCATGGAAGCTGGTCCCATGGAGTCAGAGGAGCCTCTCAGTCCCACATGGTTGTGATCAATGATATAATTTGTCAAAGATGTTCCAGCAAAGTATCAGAAGAGTATCAGTTCTTCTCCCGCTCGTCTCTGTCTCAGCGTTTGCATATTTATCTCGATCGGCTGCTGCATTCTCAACGTTCTCCGTTCTATACAGGACTGTGGAGAGAGACCATAGATAGAAACCAGAGAGAGAGAAAAGAGAGATCAGAGAGAGACCCAAGAGAGACCCAAGAGAGAGGCCAGAAATAGAGAGCCGAGAGAGAGACCAGAGGGAAACCAGAGAGAGACCAGAGAGAGAGACCAGACTCTTAAATTCATCAGTGGCTCTTCTGGCCTCTGGAAATACCATGTTCCAGCTTCTTCCCTCTGGTAGAAGCTATCCTTGGCTGCAGGACATGTGAATATGCTAATATGCTAACAGCTGGTTTCAGTTCTGTTCAATGATATAATTTGTCAGATGTTCCGGCAAAGTATCAGAAGGGTATCAGTTCTTCTCTCGCTCGTCTGTCTCAGTGTTTGCACATCTCTCTCTCGATCGGCTGCTGTATTCTCGACAGTCTCAGTTCTATTCAGGTTTGTGGAGTTTGTGTGAAGGAGAGTACTTACGTAGCTGGTATAGAACATTCCATTCTGCAGCAGGAAAAGCAGAGAGAAGAGATGACAAGGTTAAGGAGAGGAAGGAGGCGAAGGAGCAGAAACAGACAAAGACACAAGCACCAGAAATATGTTCAATATGTGAAGGTTAAAAAACAGGAGCGACAGAAGGTGTTTCCGTTTTTCTATAGATTAATATGCAATAAATGGCATTCCTTATTTGGGCGTTTGTTCCAAGGCGTTAGCTTCGCGCCGAGACAGACGCAGCCATGCTAAGGCAAGCTAGCAGGTTAGCATTGTCCATCTATCTATCTATGCTCTGGAAACAGCAGCGAGTCTGGAGTCGCTCTGAAACTGTTGGACTTTTCTGTTTTACAATCAATATTTTTCCTTTTTTTGTTGTAAATTATTACTTTTTAGTTATTTTTTTATAAATTTTACTGCAGCACAGCGTTCATGGTTTTACACTGATGCAGAGCAGAGCAGAGCAGAGAGGATGGTCCGATAAACAAGCAGACTCTGCAAAGATCAACGAGAGGAAGCAGCTCAGCACCAGTGGCTGCTGTGACCAGAGAGAGACCAGAGAGAGACCAGGGAGAGACCAGTGAGAGAGACCAGAGAGAGACCAGGGAGAGACCAGTGAGAGAGACCAGAGAGAGAGACAGGAGAGAGACCAGAGAGAGACCAGAGAGAGAGACCAGAGAGAGACCAGTGAGAGAGACCAGAGAGAGACCAGTGAGAGAGACAGGAGAGAGACCAGAGAGAGACCAGTGAGAGAGACAGGAGAGAGACCAGAGAGAGACCAGAGAGAGACCAGAGAGAGACCAGTGAGAGAGACAGGAGAGAGACAGGAGAGAGACCAGAGAGAGACCAGAGAGAGACCAGAGGGAGACCAGAGAGAGAGACAGGAGAGAGACAGGAGAGAGACCAGAGAGAGACCAGAGAGAGAGATCAGAGAGACCAGTGAGAGAGACCAGTGAGAGAGACTAGAGAGAAACCAGTGAGCGAGACAGGAGAGAGACCAGAGAGAGACCAGTGAGAGAGACCAGTGAGAGAGACAGGAGAGAGACAGGAGAGAGAGACAGGAGAGAGACCAGAGAGAGACCAGTGAGAGAGACCAGTGAGAGAGACCAGAGAGAGAGACAGGAGAGAGACCAGAGAGAGAGACAGGAGAGAGACCAGAGAGAGGCCAGAAAGACCAGAGAGAGACCAGAGAGAGCGACCAGAGGTAAACCAGTGAGAGAGACCGGAGAGAGACCGGAGAGAGACCAGAGAGAGACCGGAGAGAGACCGGAGAGAGACCAGAGAGAGACCAGAGAGAGAGACCAGAGAGAGAGACCAGAGAGAGAGACCAGAGAGAGACCGGAGAGAGAGACCAGAGAGAGACCGGAGAGAGACCAGAGAGAGAGCAGAGAGAGAGACCAGAGAGAGAGAGACCAGAGAGAAACCAGAGAGAGAGACAGGAGAGAGACCAGAGAGAGAGACCAGAGAGAGAGACCAGAGAGAAACCAGTGAGAGAGACCGGAGAGAGACCGGAGAGAGACCAGAGAGAGACCGGAGAGAGACCGGAGAGAGACCAGAGAGAGACCAGAGAGAGAGACCAGAGAGAGAGACCAGAGAGAGAGACCAGAGAGAGAGACCAGAGAGAGACCGGAGAGAGAGACCAGAGAGAGACCGGAGAGATACCAGAGAGAGACCAGAGAGAGACCAGAGAGAGACCAGAGAGAGAGACCAGAGGGAGACCAGAGAGAGACCAGAGAGAGAGACCAGGCTACATCACCTGCTGCTGCTGCACTTTATAACTCTTGTCAGAAACATTTAGATTTGTGCATCTATTTGTCTCCTACAGGGATCTGTCTGTGTTAATCATGAAACAAAAGTTAGGTACCCCAGCTTTAAAACTGAAACACTTTCTCCAGCCTCTAAAAACGCTGGAGTCGTCGTGTTTGAGGAGGGTTTCTCAGCAGCGACACAAAGACATGACGCTGCGAAAGCTCAGATCAGCGCAAAGTGATGATGGTGGAAGAAGGAAGGAAGGACCAGGACAACACCGGAGGAAGGACCAGGACAACACCGGAGGAAGGACCAGGACAACACCGGAGGAAGGACCAGGACAACACCGGAGGAAGGACAAGGACAACACCGGAGGAAGGACCAGGACAACACCGGAGGAAGGACCAGGACAACACCGGAGGAAGGACAAGGACAACACCGGAGGAAGGACCAGGACAACACCGGAGGAAGGACCAGGACAACACCGGAGGAAGGACCAGGACAACACCGGAGGAAGGACCAGGACAACACCGGAGGAAGGACCAGGACAACACCGGAGGAAGGCAATCAGGCGCTGACAGTTTGCTGGGTAAGCTCAAAGCAGGATCACAGCAGGGAGAGAAACTGCTGCCACGCCGAAAACATCAATATCTGAGAGAGAGGCTTCTGAAGGACCAGTGTGAGCCAGCAGAGGCCAAACTGGACCAGTGTGAGCCAGCAGAGGCCAAACTGGACCAGTGTGAGCCAGCAGAGGCCAAACTGGACCTGTGTGAGCCAGCAGAGGCCAAACTGGACCAGTGTGAGCCAGCAGAGGATAAACTGGACCAGTGTGAGCCAGCAGAGGATAAACTGGACCAGTGTGAGCCAGCAGAGGATAAACTGGACCAGTGTGAGCCAGCAGAGGCCAAACTGGACCAGTGTGAGCCAACAGAGGCAAAACTGGACTAATCAGAGCAAGAAGTAACCATGAAGCAATATTAAAGCTGGGGTACGTAACTTTCAAACAACAACAATAGTAATGAAATCCATGTCACTGAGGTCTACAGTCTGAGGTCTACAGTCTGAGGTCTACAGTCTGAGGTCTACAGTCTTAGGTCTACAGTCTGAGGTCTACAGTCTTAGGTCTACAGTCTGAGGTCTACAGTCTACAGTCTGAGGTCTACAGTCTACAGTCTGAGGTCTACAGTCTGAGGTCTACAGTCTGAGGTCTACAGTCTGAGGTCTACAGTCTTAGGTCTACAGTCTGAGGTCTACAGTCTACAGTCTGAGGTCTACAGTCTGAGGTCTACAGTCTGAGGTCTACAGTCTGAGGTCTACAGTCTGCGGTCTACAGTCTGCGGTCTACAGTCTGCGGTCTACAGTCTGAGGTCTGCCGTCTGAGGTCTACAGTCTGAGGTCTACAGTCCGAGGTCTGCAGTCCGAGGTCTACAGTCTGAGGTCTACAGTCTGAGGTCTACAGTCTGAGGTCTACAGTCCGAGGTCTGCAGTCTGAGGTCTACAGTCTGAGGTCTACAGTCCGAGGTCTGCAGTCCGAGGTCTACAGTCCGAGGTCTGCAGTCTGAGGTCTGCAGTCTGAGGTCTGCAGTCCGAGGTCTACAGTCCGAGGTCTGCAGTCTGAGGTCTACAGTCTGAGGTCTACAGTCTGAGGTCTACAGTCTGAGGTCTACAGTCTGAGGTCTACAGTCTGAGGTCTGCAGTCTGAGGTCTGCAGTCTGAGGTCTACAGTCTGAGGTCTACAGTCTGAGGTCTGCAGTCTGAGGTCTACAGTCTGAGGTCTACAGTCTGAGGTCTACAGTCCGAGGTCTACAGTCTGAGGTCTACAGTCTGAGGTCTGCAGTCTGAGGTCTGCAGTCTGAGGTCTACAGTCTGAGGTCTGCAGTCTGAGGTCTACAGTCTGAGGTCTGCAGTCTGAGGTCTGCAGTCTGAGGTCTACAGTCTGAGGTCTACAGTCCGAGGTCTACAGTCCGAGGTCTACAGTCTGAGGTCTACAGTCTGAGGTCTGCAGTCTGAGGTCTACAGTCTGAGGTCTACAGTCCGAGGTCTACAGTCCGAGGTCTGCAGTCTGAGGTCTGCAGTCCGAGGTCTACAGTCCGAGGTCTGCAGTCTGAGGTCTACAGTCTGAGGTCTACAGTCTGAGGTCTACAGTCTGAGGTCTACAGTCTGAGGTCTACAGTCTGAGGTCTACAGTCTGAGGTCTGCAGTCTGAGGTCTACAGTCTACAGTCTGAGGTCTACAGTCTGAGGTCTACAGTCTGAGGTCTACAGTCTGAGGTCTGCAGTCTGAGGTCTGCAGTCTGAGGTCTACAGTCTGTGGTCTACAGTCTGAGGTCTGCAGTCTGAGGTCTACAGTCTGAGGTCTACAGTCTGAGGTCTACAGTCTGAGGTCTGCAGTCTGAGGTCTACAGTCTACAGTCTGAGGTCTACAGTCTGAGGTCTACAGTCTGAGGTCTGCAGTCTGAGGTCTACAGTCTGTGGTCTACAGTCTGAGGTCTGCAGTCTGAGGTCTACAGTCTGAGGTCTACAGTCCGAGGTCTACAGTCTGAGGTCTACAGTCTGAGGTCTGCAGTCTGAGGTCTACAGTCTGCGGTCTACAGTCTGCGGTCTACAGTCTGAGGTCTACAGTCTGAGGTCTACAGTCTGAGGTCTGCAGTCTGAGGTCTACAGTCTGAGGTCTACAGTCCGAGGTCTACAGTCCGAGGTCTGCAGTCTGAGGTCTGCAGTCCGAGGTCTACAGTCCGAGGTCTGCAGTCTGAGGTCTACAGTCTGAGGTCTACAGTCTGAGGTCTACAGTCTGAGGTCTACAGTCTGAGGTCTACAGTCTGAGGTCTACAGTCTGAGGTCTACAGTCTGAGGTCTACAGTCTGAGGTCTACAGTCTGAGGTCTGCAGTCTGAGGTCTACAGTCTACAGTCTGAGGTCTACAGTCTGAGGTCTACAGTCTGAGGTCTACAGTCTGAGGTCTGCAGTCTGAGGTCTGCAGTCTGAGGTCTACAGTCTGTGGTCTACAGTCTGAGGTCTGCAGTCTGAGGTCTACAGTCTGAGGTCTACAGTCTGAGGTCTACAGTCTGAGGTCTGCAGTCTGAGGTCTACAGTCTACAGTCTGAGGTCTACAGTCTGAGGTCTACAGTCTGAGGTCTACAGTCTGAGGTCTACAGTCTGAGGTCTGCAGTCTGAGGTCTACAGTCTGTGGTCTACAGTCTGAGGTCTGCAGTCTGAGGTCTACAGTCTGAGGTCTACAGTCCGAGGTCTACAGTCTGAGGTCTACAGTCTGAGGTCTGCAGTCTGAGGTCTACAGTCTGCGGTCTACAGTCTGCGGTCTACAGTCTGAGGTCTACAGTCTGAGGTCTACAGTCTGAGGTCTGCAGTCTGAGGTCTGCAGTCTGAGGTCTGCAGTCTGAGGTCTACAGTCTGAGGTCTACAGTCTGAGGTCTACAGTCCGAGGTCTACAGTCTGAGGTCTACAGTCTGAGGTCTGCAGTCTGAGGTCTACAGTCTGAGGTCTACAGTCTGAGGTCTGCAGTCTGAGGTCTACAGTCTGAGGTCTACAGTCTGAGGTCTACAGTCTGAGGTCTGCAGTCTGAGGTCTACAGTCTGAGGTCTACAGTCTGAGGTCTACAGTCTGAGGTCTGCAGTCTGAGGTCTACAGTCTGAGGTCTGCAGTCTGAGGTCTACAGTCTGAGGTCTGCAGTCTGAGGTCTACAGTCTGAGGTCTACAGTCTGAGGTCTGCAGTCTGAGGTCTACAGTCTGAGGTCTGCAGTCTGAGGTCTACAGTCTGAGGTCTGCAGTCTGAGGTCTACAGTCTGAGGTCTACAGTCTGAGGTCTGCAGTCTGAGGTCTGCAGTCTGAGGTCTACAGTCTGTGGTCTACAGTCTGAGGTCTACAGTCTGAGGTCTACAGTCTGAGGTCTGCAGTCTGAGGTCTGCAGTCTGAGGTCTGCAGTCTGAGGTCTACAGTCTGAGGTCTACAGTCTGAGGTCTACAGTCCGAGGTCTACAGTCTGAGGTCTACAGTCTGAGGTCTGCAGTCTGAGGTCTACAGTCTGCGGTCTACAGTCTGCGGTCTACAGTCTGAGGTCTACAGTCTGAGGTCTACAGTCTGAGGTCTGCAGTCTGAGGTCTGCAGTCTGAGGTCTGCAGTCTGAGGTCTACAGTCTGAGGTCTACAGTCTGAGGTCTACAGTCCGAGGTCTACAGTCTGAGGTCTACAGTCTGAGGTCTGCAGTCTGAGGTCTACAGTCTGAGGTCTACAGTCTGAGGTCTACAGTCTGAGGTCTGCAGTCTGAGGTCTACAGTCTGAGGTCTGCAGTCTGAGGTCTACAGTCTGAGGTCTGCAGTCTGAGGTCTACAGTCTGAGGTCTACAGTCTGAGGTCTGCAGTCTGAGGTCTACAGTCTGAGGTCTGCAGTCTGAGGTCTACAGTCTGAGGTCTGCAGTCTGAGGTCTACAGTCTGAGGTCTACAGTCTGAGGTCTGCAGTCTGAGGTCTGCAGTCTGAGGTCTACAGTCTGTGGTCTACAGTCTGAGGTCTACAGTCTGAGGTCTACAGTCTGAGGTCTGCAGTCTGAGGTCTACAGTCTGTGGTCTACAGTCTGAGGTCTACAGTCTGAGGTCTAAGGGTAAGGTCTGGTCTGAGGTCCAAGGTAGCAGGTTTAAGGGTCTGATTTGTTCCCAATATGTGCCTTTTACAGGACTCTTTCTGTTGGAACACAAAGGTCAGGTACCCCAGCTTTAATGCATTTCCTGTTGTATGAAACACGATGATCTGTAGTTACAAAAACAAGACAAAACCTAAACTAAACTAAACTAAACTAAACTAAACTAAACTAAACTAAACTAAACTAAACCATGAAGCAGGTGCAGAGAGTGGTCCACATGAGGCCTTTAGGATTCAAATACACACATTTATGGTCTCAGGTCTGGTCTCAGGTCTGGTCTCAGGTCTGGTCTCAGGTCTGGTCTCAGGTCTGGTCTCAGGTCTGGTCTCAGGTCTGGTCTCAGGTCTGGTCTCAGGTCTGGTCTCAGGTCTGGTCTCCGGTCTTGGTCTCAGGTCTGGTCTCAGGTCTGGTCTCCGGTCTGGTCTCCGGTCTGGTCTCCGGTCTTGGTCTCCGGTCTTGGTCTCCGGTCTTGGTCTCCGGTCTTGGTCTCCGGTCTTGGTCTCCGGTCTTGGTCTCCGGTCTTGGTCTCCGGTCTTGGTCTCCGGTCTTGGTCTCCGGTCTTGGTCTCAGGTCTGGTCTCAGGTCTGG